GCTATGAGCCCTTCAACATGCCCGAGGGCAAAGGGTGTTTCGTATTTTCGATTTCAAGTAAACATACAATATTACGACTAGTTACTGCCAATAAAATCGTGGTCTGTGACCATAAACTTCCGGCGATCACGCCCACCCAGGGCTTCGTTTTCTATGTTATTGCAGTTGTATTTTAGCCTCTTATTGTCTACTTGACGATCTCTTCACCAGCTCGTCTTTCCTTTAGGATTCCACGTCAGGATCTGTCTGATAGTGTTTCAACAGTGTGTGACCTATCCATCGCCATCTTTTTCTGTCAATTTTCTCTTCTGCTTGTACGTGTGCTCTCATCCATAGATTATAGTTGCTGATCGTGTTTGGCCAGGGGAAACTTCTAAGACAGTTAATGATGAAGGTCTACGCTTTATTGATGTATTTTGTCACTCTCCAAGTCTCAGAGAAGGGCTGTCTTTACATTGGAGTTAAAGAATTCGTTTTTGTCCTTTGCCTTAGCACTTTCGATTTACAGATGTTTTTGAGTTGTAGAAAAGCTGCCCTTTTTTGACATGTGCATCTCTGTCACCGTGTTTGTCATTGATACTCAACTCGATTTCTTCAAGGTTGATGCTATCAAGTGTTTGTATTGTTCATATTGAACAATCCTTTCCTGGCACATACAATATGTTTGCCTGATGCACTCCTAATTACTTATCAAAAATATTGTAGTTGTGGAAGCAAATATTCATTATGAAACACACGTTTAACAAAATGTTCCATAATTATGCCATAATATTTTTTTATGGTGATGGACACATGCAATTCTGAAAATTAAATGAATATGTCTGTCATGTCGCGTGTATTTCGCAGCTATCCGCCTCAGATTTGTATAATACAGTGTGCCATTCAGTTCCTGGGTGTTGGACTGAATTTGCATACTCTACCCAAGCGTCATTCAATATTAATATGGACACACCACGTGATGGCGTGATTTGAATAATTAATATTGTGTACCACATTTACTATACATTCTACTGTGTGGGTGCTGTAAACTTGTTGCTCACTGTGATGTAAGTTCCATACTGTTGATTGATCATTGGTGATTCCGTCTACAACACAGGCATGAAGTGTATTAACACTCTTCACCACACGGGGAAATGTCGGTGACATATATTATTTACATAGAGTATTGCTGTTACTAGGCGGTCTCACAGAGAGTCATTGAGTACGACATTTTGTTTTATTTGATAGAAGCAGTCACATGAATAAAAGCGGGCAGTTTTAGCTACCCTCCCCACAGGTCAATTTCTCGTCATGTCCAACGTTTCCCCAAGAGAGTAATTTTTTTCCCTGTGAGATTGAATAAAATAAACTGCAATTGTCTTATATATTGATGTAAAGTGTTCATTTAAAACATCATTCTCGTATACAACTATATATTGTACATTACTCTACCCCATGTAGCGGCAATGTACCGGTGTGAATGTAGTACTCAGCCATAGGCGAGGAACGACGTTCCTGCTAACAGAAAGCCTGATTTTTAGACATGTCCAGATAACACATGCTATTCGTACTCTCTAGTTAGTTTAACTGTTGTGGATCACTGCAAACGACCACAACAAGGTGTCAGCTTGGAAAACAATTATTTTAAATACAACTAATATGTATTTTACCACAGTTGATATGACAGGACAAGGCATATTAGAGAGTAATACTGCATCATAGGGGATTTATTCACAGCGGTAATTTTTTGCTTTGGAACACAGCTTAATGAGTAAGTAATTAGAGTAGATTTGGTAAGCTCGGGTAAAACACTCACTTGAAAGTTGCGAAATTACACAAATAGTAAACATAGAAATGAATTTGACAAATTTATATAATTTGGCAAAAGCTCAACTGACGATCGTTATTTTGAAACTGATGGGGGGCGATTTAGAAATGTTTGAAACTGGTCGATGAGGGATCGCTTCTTGATCGTTAACTGGCATTGTTAGTCAATTGCTAGGAGTACGTATATACATGTGCTGTGTCATCATGTCTCTATAATTTTCTACTTTTGCTGTTTCTTTTCAAATCTTGAGCATGTGTGAAAAAGATGAAGTTGATCAGCAAAATTGTAATTTGTCGCATGGCTCAGTGAACATATTGGTTCAAGACAGTCGGAAAGTACCTTATCTCTCTCGTCTTTGAGTTGTTGTATCATCGACATATGTATTATAAATATCGCGCCCTGTGACGGAAACTAACATTACCCAAAAGATCTGTTCATAACGTGACTTTTTGAAACAACTTACTAATTTTTATGTAATATTTACTGTGTAGCCAAAGTCAATAATTATTAAAAACAAGAACTACTACGGCAGATAGTACACTTCACTAATCGTTTTCAAACAAAAACGTTGATTATGTTTACATAACATTCACCATCACAAAACTGTGCGCAGCTCAGCACATGACAGTCAACTAGTGAAAACGACATTGTTTACCGATATCAGTGTTTTTCTTTTGTATAACACGTACAACCAGAACATGCAATTTTAATTAACACTGGCAAATATAAAACGATTGTTTCCTCTGACGAAAGCAGCCATACGGTCACGTGAATTGGCCGATGAACTATAAACCGTCCCCTACAAAATATGTGAGTCACAAATTTCACCTTTTTTGTGACTGTGTTTTTTCTCATTAATTGTGGGTGTTGCGGGTTCTTAACACCAATTTAGACTCAATAGCGTTGTAATCAAATGTGCTGCGAATTTAAACGTCTCTATGTTTTGATTTGATGAGTTGCAGTGGGTGGTGCAATGCTGTATACTGCCGCTGATAAGCCGTACATATAACATAGTTTCTACGGAGCGTTATTTTTCTAGTTGTTATCCAGTGTCTGATATCCACACTAAGAATGTCGTGAGTTACTAGAAATGAATAAATGGCATGGTTGTTGACAAGCTGCGGGGCTAACTAGACGAGCTTATGTAGGGTGAGGTACGGCCAAACAAATTCTATTCCTGTTATATTCAGGCATATTTATTTATCCTTACGTATAAATATACTCGACGTGTACAGATTTAAAATTGTCATCTCATATGTTTATCAGGAGAAAACCAGCAACGACTGGCTCTGGATAAAGTATACCCAAAGTTGTATATTCTTAACTATGACTTGGAATATAAATCTTTCAAATGAACATTTAATACAGTAGAATTTTGGACGCTTAGACCGAGCTAAGCTTTCGCGGCCTATCTAGGAATCTGGAACGTGTCTAAAAAACATATCAGGTTTAATCCTACTTTAACATGTTCGTGCTGAGCGTTCGCACACGGTTTCTTTGTAGGGCTAAGTTTTGTGACTTCTTATTTATTATGTCAAGCATACACAAATAAAACTGCCATTTCTGGACTATGGCACTCTCAAACAACAATAAACCATAAATACAATGAAGAAAACTTTTATTATGAAAGAAACAAGGGGGCTCTGTAAATGAATCCGTCGAAACCTAATTGCAAATACTGTCTAAATTATCACAGATAGATTCGCCATATGATGGGAAATTATATCAGATTTGCTAGGTCCAAGCAAAAAACAATTATGTAAATTACAGGGAAAGGAGGGAATCAGTGACCGAACAGACATACACAATACAATGTGATATAAGTAAATTGTTGGATCATGATCTGTATATTTACATGTTTGGGTTGCCAAAAGTACAAAAAGAAACCCCCAAAATAATAATACTTCAGATGAGAAATCTTATTAAAATCTTGTCAGCAAAAAATAGTATAAGTGGTGAAACCTGGTAACATATAAACATGTTCCCTAGATTCATGGTATGGTTGGATATTTATTATACGGTACATTGCTAGCACTTTTCACGTACATTTACACTACCTTGCTGACACT